CGAACTCGCTGAGGCAGAGGGATATACTTGCCCTCCCTGGGGAAAAAGTTCAACTTAAGGGCAGGTAGCCACAAGTCCTGCACATTTGGCAACATGAACCCTTGCGTTCTGAATTCTCTCCCCAGCTTCCCCAGTGCCCAGCTCCAGCTCCTTTCACTGTCCACTTGACGATCTGGCCCAGTTAAGGAGCTGTGGCTACAAGCTTCTGACCTTACATTACACGAACACTGACTCAACCACCCTGACCAGTGTTTCACAATTTTAGCACTCCTGACTTATGAGAAGGGTTCACGGGGGAACGTTTACAAGATGTTTACCACGCACAGATTGATTTCTTTTTTGCAAAAAGAACAAACAATGCCAGGGCGTGGTGGTACATGCCTGTAATTCCAACACTCGTGAGGCTGAGGCAGGACAATCACATTAAATTCAAGACCAACTTAGGCTACACAAGTGAGTTAAAGACCAGCCTGAGCCACATAGTAAGACCCTGTCTCAAAGCAAAACAAAATATAAACGCTATCTACTTATCAATGAATAGGCAGAATAAAGTCTACGAAAACCCTAAAAAAATTTTTTCTCCCTCAACCACTGAACAGATTACTTCACCTCATTAAGCTCCGCATGGAGAATTAAGGATTCACCTCCATCTTCACAAGGTGGTGAGGTTCAGTAACACTGTGCAAGGCTCTCGGCCCAGGGTGAAACCACTACCCAACCAACGGGTGCTGACTGCCCCAGCAATTACCTGGATGCCAGGCTGGGGCTCTCCCGCCCCGAGCCCTGCCGCTGGACTGCGCTGTGCTTCTCCTCCTCCGTGCGCCCATCGTCATTTTCCATGGCAATCCGTAGGCGGTACTGGGGGCTCGACTCAATCTCCCGGGCCAACTGGGCTGCACGCAGCTCCCGCTGGCGGAACTCTTCTGAGTTGTCCTTTTCTAAGGGCACCCTGAGAGAGAACACCCATCGATCACTACCGTTCCAGTGCCACAGAACAAAAGAGGACAAAGGAGAGCATTTCTATCCGTCCTAACCAGCTCAGGCACACGCGGCTGCTTAATCCCTTCAGTGACTCAGCATGGCGCTGAGGACTGAACCCAGCGCCTCACACATGCTGGGCAAGTGCTCTACAACTGAGCTACGTCCCCGGGCCAATCAGCATGTTGCTGGGCCATCTCCTCGGTCCCAGGCAGAGCTCCACGGCAGCTTCTGCATCTGAAGGACATGCAGACCCTTGCCTATTTTAAATTCTAAAGGGAAGGTACAGGTGGATGGACAAGAGATCAGCTCCTTCTACCCATGGGATGGCCTAAAATCAAAACACTTTTAAGGAGCCATTCACAAGGCAGATCAGAAGTAAAGGAAAGCTGGGCATGGTGGCACACGCCTCTAATCCCAGCACTGAAGAGGCTGAGGCAGGAGGATCCTTGCGAGTTCAAGACTGGCCCAGGCTACAAAACGAGCTCAAGGCCAGCCTGAACTGCATAGCGAGACCCTGTGTCAAAAAGACCCCCCCAAAAAAGGGAGTAAGGGAAGGGCTACCTGGATACCAAGAAAAGCACACACAAATCTATGTCCTACCTAGTAATCTGCCTCCTGCTGGTGACCTTGTGCCCTACACTGCACCCCCAGGGCAGCAACAAGGTACTCACGTGTAAGAAGAGAGACTACTATCATAGGTGGTCTTCACACCATAGTTCTCCTCGTTGAACTTGAACATTTCATTAGGATCCCATCCATTGGACTAGGGAAAAAGGAGAATGTTTAAAACCTCACATTTTATTTCCTTCCCACCAGCTTAAAAACTTAAAGTGACCAAAGCAAGAGTAGAACAAAAAAAAAAAGGCTGGTGAGTTACCAACTTTACTGCCAATTCACAGCATAAACTTGGACTAACTGCAAAGCTAAAAACTTCTAAGATCTAAAAACTCACTTCCAGGTTTCTAATTCAGAGATTCTAAAACATATACATGGGGTTACACACTCTAAAAGCCAAGAAGGCACCTTTTTTTTTGGGGGTAGCATTGCAGATTGAATCACTAAGGCCTTCAGCGAGCTACACTTTCAACTTACTTACTTTTTTTTTTTTTTTTGGTACTGGGAATCAAACTCAGGACCTCACATTTGCCAGGCAGGCCCTGTGCCACTGAGCTATATCCCCAGCCCCTACTTTTCATTTCTGAGAGAAGGTCTCATTAAGTCACGAAGTTGCCCAGGCTGGGCTCAAATTTGTAATCATCCTGTTTCACCCTCCCAGACAGCTGAACTATGGACATGTACCACCATGCTTGGCTGAAAGGCACCATTCGTAGTAAAAGGTAACGACAACAAATCAAATTTCCAAGACAAAGGAAAAACAAACACAACTGGATGTGCACATACGTGGATAAATAGTTAAAAGCAACAAAACAGACTCGTGTCAAAATGCGAAGTTTCAAAAGGCAAGAATTAGATTCCTATTCAGCTTAAACATGTCAGAACAAAAACTCATTCACTCAGGAGATTTACAATGCATTAAAGTTTGCTTTTAGGACAGAAAATGAGCCTACAACATAAACAATCCTGTTTACACTTGCAACTGTGGCTATCTTCCTCCCCTCCTTCCAAGAACCAACTCTTGGGTTCCCAGGGACCTCACTACCAACGAGCCGTGCCATGGCTGCCCGCTCAGGGAAGCATACCATACCATGTCAGACTCAAGGTCGTAGTCATCACTGTTGCTGTCACCACCTTCCCAGCGCTGAAGCACCTTCTCTTTGTGCTCCCCATTCACCTTTGAGTTCATGGCAATGGCTGAGTCAGTGAACTTGTCTGTAGGGACAGAGATAAACGAGGAGTCCGGTGACACATAACAGCTTTCTCTCTCCTCCGTCTTACTCCCACCCCTCTACAGTCATTCAGGAAACAGACCCTAAGAAGCCGGGACTTATCAAGGGTATGTGTGCATGGCTATCAGGGCAGGGACTGGGAAGGAGCACAACTGTTGAAAATCAACCAGACTAAACATGGAGAACCATAACACAAACAGAATTCAATCCACTTCTACGATTCCCACAAGAAAATTCAGCCACCTCCCTCAGGAGGGAAGAATGGAAAAGGAAAAAAACAAACCAAGTCAACACATCCTACCTGCACACACATCCCCCTCTCCTCACAGACTGAGTCTGACACAAGAGGCCGACAATACCTTTAGTAGCATAATTGAAGTCAACGTTTCGGAAATGGACAAGCATCACGTCACTTGGTTTAAACACCATGGTATCCACGATATCTTCCCGACGGGGGCCGCCGGTTGGCTCAGATGCTTTCCTGTGCACAGCATCTACTGCCAGTTCAAACTGCACATGTCCCGTCCCAGAAACCCAGAGATTAGTATCAAAAAACACGAACATAGAAACAGGCTCATTTCCCCCCTTTAAAAATTCCCCCAACACATTTCTCATGTGGCTTATCTTCTCAATACCAGCCACAAGACTTAACAAGTCTTGAACATAAAATTTAAGGAATTTAAACTGAAGGCCTGCCAGGCATATTGGCACATGCCTATAATCCCAGCACTCAGGAAGAGTACTGAGAGTCTGAGACCAGCCTGAATAGTGAGTTCAAGGCTAGCGGAAATTGCATACCAAGACCCAGTCTCAAAAACAAAACAAAACAAAAAAAAACAGCCTACAGAAACAGCAGCACTACCAATACCACCCAATACACCCCCTCAATGTCCTTCTCTTCCTCCTCATTCCATCAGCCCCCAAAATGAGCTCATTTGAGTACACTGACCTTTGAGCTCAAGGTTTTGAAAATGCCTTCATAAGTGGTGCCATTTTTCACCTTTACATCACAGGTGGAGCCCTGGGGGAGGGGGGGGAGATAAGAGTGACTCCAGAAGACTGATGCATTACATTTCTCAAACAACCTAGTGTTCAATGTTCACTTACCACAACAGCCGTCAGGAAGTGCAGCATCCTGGAATTGTTATAGACACCTTCAAACACCTGTCAGTAACACAAGAGAGAAATAAAGGCATAGCCAGTGCACGTGTCTTTCTAAATGGCCACACTACGCTCATATCTTGCTTGTGGCAGGCTGCCTGGCCTTTCTGAACCCAACTGACTATCTGCATCTAACCACCTCCACATTCCCATGTATCTCTTAGAACTGTGTATCCTATAGAACAAAGGCACTCACAGGTGACTGTGGGGGTCCCTTTCCCGTGCTCTGTCCCCTGTAAAAGAAAAAAACAAGTTACTGCACTACTTAATGACAGTAAATCCGAGGCCCTTTGTCATGTGCAGTTGCTGATGGTTATAAGCCAATAAAGGTCTTTCAAATTCTCACCTTAACGAGGAAAAAAGGAGCACGCAGTAAACGCCAGTAAACACATCCCCTCCTAACGCCAGTACACGAGAATGCAATCAACAACGGCTATCAGTTCCTTTAACAGACAACGCACCACAACACCCTCACTTTCTCCAGGAGTCAGAGCTGCATGCTTCCAACAAAGCAACGCGACAGCATTCAGCAACCGACAACCCACCCGAAGTGAAGGTGAACGCTCAGGGAGCACAAGCGCACAACTACTCAGCTCAGGCACATAACCTCCCAAGCGGTAAAATCATTTTCAGCAGCCTTACGCCTCACACCCTGGGAGGAAGGGTATTCCCTTCGCAACCACTCCTCTACCCCCTCACCGCTCACTCAGCCTATTACCCACTCTGCAGGGGTCACCAGTCGCCAGGTAACACCGCTCCTCGATGGCTGATGTAACCAGCGGTAGAGGAGGGCGAAGAGGGGGCCGCTGGTGGGGCTGGGGCATAGCGCAGCCGCAGAAGGCAGCCGCCGGAGGCCGCGCCTGGTCTGCGCCTGCGCCCTGAAGCTCACGGGCCTCTTCAAATCCCCCCGCCCGCGCGCAGAACCCACCGCGCCTGCGTACACCGCCACTCTCCCACCCACTGCACGCGCGCACACGGAGAAGGAACTGAGCGAGGCGCCCGCGACTCACCGCCTCACAGCAGAAGAAACCCTCCATGCACACACCCAGTCGCGGCCCTACGCGACACCGGGCCCGCGAACGCCCAGGTCATGAGACACAGCACCCGCGCGCACGTCCGGGCCGCAGCCCACCGGGCCGGCCCTCCTTCCGCGCCCCCGCCCGCCCTGCTCCCCTCCTACTGGCCAGGCGGGGAGGAGGCGGGAGCAGCCCGCTCCCAAGTCCCTCCCTCCCCATTGGCCAAACTGCGGGCCGCGCGCCCCCCTCCATTGGCTGCGGCCGGGGACCCCTTCCGGCGGCTGACTCCCCATTGGCTGAAGCTGGGGACCGCGAGACCCTCCGCGGTAATGGAGCCCGGGACCCCGATCACCTCCTGCCCCCCCAACTCCCCGCTCCGACGGCGCCGGCGGACGCGCCCCGCCTCCCCGCAGGGCCCGACCCGGAACCCTCACTAGGCCCCGGGAGCCAGGCACGGTCCTCAGGAGCCCCGGGCGCC